TCTTTATAAAAAATTATATTATTAAATCAAATATAAATTATTTCGTTATTGTACATAAATTAAATTATAAAAAAATTGGATTAAAAAATTACACAAAAAAATGAGGAATTTCAAATAGTTAATTTGATACTAATATCGATATATTTTTGTCAATTTTTTATGATATCGTCAAACATATATTCTATTCAAAAATAAAAACATCATCGCTTTCTCAAAATCACATAAAGCCATATTATAACATCGACTGAGATAAAAAATAAAATAAAATATTAAAAACACGATGTATGACGCTGCATTGCGCGAGTACGCTTCTAGTATATATATATATATATATATATATATAAACACATCTGTTTTGAGAAAGTGCAATCACACTTCTAGACCTTCAAAATAATTAACACATAATAAAAATTAAAATAAACAAAAATGAATTTGTATTTATCTATAATTTTCTGTTATCCAATATTTATCTTTATCTCTTAAATTTTGTTAATATCATCAGAGACTTTTTATGGCGATGCGTCCGTTGTCGATAATGATGTGATAATATTGTGACAATTATTTGGTTTTACCATGATAATAATGTGATAATGATTTGATAAGTTGAATATTTGTATGACGTGATTTTGATGTGATAATCATCTGATAATTATGTGATTTTTGTTGTGATATTGATGTAATAATGTTGTGAGAATAAAAAAACTAGCAATGATTACGTCTACTTTCATCGCTCTGTCTGTTATCCTTAATTAATTACTTTATTTTTTATTTTAATTATGAGTTAAATAATTTGGAGACCCGTAAATGTTCTCGCATTATCATAAAACAAGGTTGTTCTCGTTTGAACCTCCACACACACACACACATATATAGACACACAAACTTGAGATCATGTGAGACAAAACTATTTTCGTAAGACATGTTTTTTACACTTCAAACTTCACAGTAAAACGATGTGAAGGTAACATTCACATTGTATTTGTTTTGAAGGTTTGGGTTTTTTTTTTACCTTCACAACGTTTTGTTGTAAAATTTCAAGTGTAAAAAACTTGTATAACGTGTCTCGTGAAAACAAACTTGTCTCACGTGAACCCAACCATATATCAAAATAAAATTTATTTGTTTTTGGTTCGTATATTATACTACCTCGTCCTAAAATAAATATCCTCAATAAAGAAAATACATATTCATCCGGTGAGAAAAATTACCTGATAAATACTTACCGGGTAAACGTTTAGTAACGTCCCCTAAGTCTAGCCATAAGACTATTGCCTTGACTTGACTTGACTTGTAGGAAAGATGAAATATTCCATCACATCTCATGCTTTTTACCAACATGCCACCACCCTTGTGGTTATATATGTTTCGTATTATATTTTGTTTACACAAAAAAGTTATATATGTTTTTATAATTTCATTTTTGAAATTTAGTACTGAAATACACTTTAAATTAATACATTTAACTGGATAAAACACTGAAAGAATTTAAGAAAACTATTAAATTTTTTTTATAAAAACTTGCAAACTTGGATTAAAATTTATAAAAACTAAATCTTATTGAAAAATTGGGTCAACACATAGCCGGTCACGGGTGGAGCCGAGACTTGAAATTCCATAGAAATATGTAAACAGTCCCGGACCATCGAGCCACAAACCCATCTCAATTTGTTCCGGTCCTAACCAGTCGTGGGTCAAGTCGGATCCAATTTGACCATCTCTAGATTCACCACTTGTTCTCAAGACGTGAGCCAAGTTTTTTTAAAACAAAAGCCCGAAAAACCCTGAAAAACCCCAATCAAACCTTTTTTCACGCTGTAAGTGTGAAAAAATAACAAAATAATTTGTACAAGAATGAAAGTATCTCATATGCAAAGTTCTTATAAGAAAAAAACGAACTCTTAGAAAAATCACTATTGGACAGAGTTCTTATAAGAACCTCATATTTCTTGAGCTGTTGTACAAGAACCTTAGTTCTTACCTTGAAGTTGGTGTGAATGACGTTTTTGTTAGTTTTTTTTATATATTTTATTGACTTTATAATTATTACTGATGTTGAAAAAATACATGAACCCCACAAAATGGTTCTTATAACAGCTACCATTGTGAAGTTTGATAAAGATTCTTAATTTGATGAGATGTAAATGATGTAATAAACAGAAGTAAAAAAATGAATTCTTATAAGAACCTACATTGGAGATGCTGCTACTGACAACTATGCTAAAGTACTGATTTTGGAGATTTAGGATATTTTTTGCTACAACAACTATGTTATACCATATGCTAAAATAGGGAAAAGAAATGAGATATAATATAAACCTTCTAATTTGGAGAAACCTTTAAAACTCCATACTTAAGGAGAACATATAATATTTAACTATTTCTCAACAATGGGAGATGTTAAAATTAAGGTGACGTTTGTTTTTTAAGAGATGTTGAAGTCTGATTTCACTTCTGATTTATAAGAGGTGATGCTGAAGTCTGAAATGTGAATCAATTAGACTGTTTATTTTTTTGTTTGAAGGCTGAAAGCTGAATCAATTAGACTGTTTGTTTTTGTAAACTGACAAATGTCTGAAATTTATGGTTTACAAAGACACGTAAGTAAGGGAAAATTCGTCATTTTGAAAACCAAAGCCTTTATTATTGTACAGGAAAGCATGGGCCTGAAGTGAGGTTTTCTCATCACTTCACAAATTTTGAGGAAAAAAAAAAGCAAAAAGATTTTAGGACTAACAACAAGAACAAACATCGTTATTTCATCAAGATTATTGCTTCAATGCAATCTCTCTTCCAATTCAACGTCTTCAGAGATCCCACCTTCAAAATCCCAAGGTAAATTTCCCTTTTCAAGTCTTGTCGTGATTCTCGTTTCTGCCGATGAACGAAGATACGTTTACAGCGTCAGATTGGTTAACTCACTTTGAAAGTTGAAACCCAGTTCAAATCCGATAGATGAACACCATTTTTTGAGTACCCATTCGATTATAGGTGTTTTCAAGCTTACCCATTTGAAGAAACCACGAATTCGTGTCGTTTTATGACTCAGAAGATTTTCTTGAAGTTGTGAAAATCGTAATAGATATAGAGCGAGAGAGCTGTTAGCGATCAAGGACTACATTTTATGGCTGATGATTCTTTAGCTAAAATCTTCGAACCATCACTCGTGAGTTTAACAGATCATCATCAGCAACAGAGCGAGAGTGAGACCTGAGGCGGGTTTGATTTAAGATACATTTAAAGGGTTCTTTTATCACTTAAAAATTAAAAGGAAGACCGTTGGCTTTAAGCTCTTATTTGAGAAAAAAAACAAACGGTCTGAAATTGAAAATATCTGACCGAATCAGACTTAAGAGCTGAATCTCAAAAAAGAAACAACTCCTAAGTGTTTATAAGAAAAAAAAATAATACTCTATGAATTGTATTGAATATTTTAATAAGATAAATAACACAGTAACCCATATTCTCCAAAATAGAGATTTTGGGTATTTTTGCTCCAACTGATTCTCCTCCAAAATGATGATAATATGAGAGAAATGATGAGATTATCCAAATTTAAAAATTTCTTAAAATATAATTACTTGTGAGAGAAAGAAATTATTTTTTATTTATTATCGATGAAATTGCTTGAATTTAAATTTTTATGAGAGATGAATAATATTTTATAAGTTGTATTGAAATTTTTTAATAATACTATAAGGGTTTTCGCACAATGCAAGAAGATATATCTCGATTTTAATGTTTTGTGTTTTTTGTCTCGGTTGATGTTATAATAATACGATTTTATATAGTTTTGAGAAAGTGATAATGTTTTTATTTTTGAACAAGATATAAATATGAATATATCATAAAGAATTGAAAAAAATTATTGATATTAATATCAAACTAACTATTAAATTTGTTTTATATATATTTTTTAATTCATTTTTATTTTTTGTTTAATAATTTATTTTTTTAAAAAGATAATAATTAAATATTTTGTTAGAATTCAATGATTATCTTAATTATATTTTAAATTTTTTATATTTAAAATGAGATGTTTATCCTCTCGATTATGTTTATTTGCAGTTAGTTATACAAATTCAAACATGAAGCTTTAATAAATTGTACTTACGTACAATTTATTTGCAATCTTATTTTTAAGTAATATGCATCAATTAACAGTAATTCATGCATAAAAATGAGTTTTAAGAGTTTTTATCAAATGTTTTATAATATAATATAAATCATTAATTGTATAATCTCTAAAATTAAGAATCCGTTGAAGATTTTGACTTTTTAAAGTATCTCCACCAGAATCCCTAAAATCTCTCCAAATTAGAGAACCAAGAGTTAAATTATCTAAAAAAAGAATTACATTAATTTCCAACGTATTCTCAATTTGAAGAATATACAACATTGATTAAAATATTTCATTTTTTTTATTAAAATATTATTTTTCTTTTTAAATAAATATTTCAAAGTTTTGTATTGATAGAATTCACATAGTAATTATTTTTGGGGTTTTCTTCGTATTTGGATTTTTCCTATTTTTTTTAAGAGCATCTCCAATAGATTCACTGGTTGAAACATTATCCGATTATTATGCTGATATGGCGAATGATGTGATATCCAACTTAGTATTATTTTAGTGACATGATTTTTTTAAATCTAAAGTTAGTCTTTTTTTTAATCTAAAATTAATTTTCAACTCAATTACCCGAATACTTAAAATGTTTAAAACTTTACATCTTAGATATTAAAATAAAAGTTTTAAAAATACATTACTTAAAACAAGAATCAAGTTAATTTTTTAATATCTCAAAATGTAGATGGAAAAAGTCAAAACAAAAATCAATTTTTTTTCCCGTTTTACCCCTATTGTATCCCATCTTCCTCGTCTACGGAAAACGCAAAGGAATTTCAGTGTGGACTGTTCAGATTCCGCCGTCCAGACGCGGGCGATTTTCAATCAAAACTTCCCCATTCTTTCTCCCTTCCTTCCCAGTTCCCATGAACCACCGCCCATCGGCCACCCTTCCATTCCACCTATATAATTCCAAGCTCCAACTCACAATCTCACATCCCCATCATCAATGGCATCACACGATAACCAATCTGAATTCCACGATTTCTTACCGTTAATGGCGGATAAATTGGGGGGCGAACGTCTGATTGAAGAATTATGCAACGGATTCCGATTGTTTATGGATCCGATCAAATGTGTAATCAGTTTCGATAGCTTGAAGAAGAACGCTGTCGGTTTGGGGATTGGAGATCTGAATGATGACGATCTACTGAGTATGTTGAAGGAAGGGGATTTGGATGGAGATGGGGTTTTGAATCAGATGGAATTTTGTGTTCTTATGTTCAGATTAAGCCCTGATTTGATGGAACATTCCAAGTTTTTGCTGGAAGAAGGTTTGCAGCAGGAGTTCAAAAAGAAGTATTAGAAGTATTTCGTTTTGTATTGTATATTGTATATTGTATGTAAAACAAGTGTTTGAGATTGCTTATAAAAATAATTAATTGACTTATTTCAGTGTCAAACCGGTAATAAAGAGTTAAATTATTCTAACTTATAATAAGTTGGTAAGAACTTTTGTAGAAAAACATAAATTGTTTCAAATAAGCAATCCCAAACACCTCCAAACTCGATTTTTTAGAACACGATCGTATTGCAATTCAGTTTGAATACGATACAAATTAAACGAGTGAATTACAATTTACAGGGTTGGTCTTTCTTCTATATGTTAGGCATGGGAATGGAACGCTTCCAATTGGGGGACTCGAGTCCTCGTGTACTCGCTCCAACACGGAATGAGATAGGGACGAGCACTGGATCCAGTGCACGGTGGTAGGAGTCTTAGGTCTTCAACAAACCCGACAATTTTTTTTTTATAAAAAAAGGCTATAAAAAATTTGCTTAGTAAATTTTTCTGTTGTGCGCTCAACAAGAAAAGACAAGGCCCCCAACTTGATATCTTGATTGTTAATTGGTCCATTTGCAGCATGTACTGATATTTTTGTTCGAAATATAAAAATTATACACCTCGATGAATTAGTAAAGAGTCAACTGAAAATCGACCTGAATAAGTTATATTTATTCGGTTAATTGAACCGTTTAAGCCGAAAAGGAAAATCCAAAACCGTTTTCATCTGAACGAATTATTTGGTTTTGAATTTTTTTTTCCACACAACTACCAAACACTCGGTATCACCGGTGCTATCATGACAGATGTCACAAACACATGACACAATAGTCGAAACGACTATACTCTATTACCATTAATGCTATTGTGACAGACACAATAGCTGAGACGACCATACTCTTAGTACCGTCGGTGCTATTGTGACATATGTCACAGTCTCATACACTATAGCCATACCCCATACTTGGTTTTTCTTTACCAGAGCACTTGGTTCAACAGGAACAAAAAAATTACAATATGTTAATTTTCACAACTAAAAGTAAATTACAATTTTTTTGAATATGCAAGTTTAAATATCTCAAACATAATCGAACCAATTACAAACAATGTATTAGATTACAATATAAAACTAAACAAAACTTCAAACGTCATACAACTAAAATCACGATTTCACAATTAGACAAATAAACTAGATTTTTTCGTAAGCCTTATTTGGATTGTTGAAGTAAAGTGGATAAAAAAATTTAAAATTTTAATGCTACTATTTTCTTTTAATGATATTATATATATATATATATGTATATATATATATATGTATATAAATTAAAATTAATATATATACACATATCAGGCCGGGTCGGGCTGATGATCATCGTCCCCGCCCCCGTTAAAATCCCCGAATTTGTCCCCGAACCCCGCCCCGTCCCCGATAAGATATCCCCGGACCCGGTCCGAAAGTTTCGGTTTTAGGTTTTCACCATCGGTTTCGGGTTTTTTTGCCATTCATATTCAAAACTGTTCGATCTGGTATGCTCGACCTCTCTATCTCGTGCTTTCCATCCTAAAAAGGATTTTCTTCAAATGCCATCTATGTAATTTTCTCGTTGAATTCCGTGAACGAAACAAAAAAATTCCAATTTCGTTAAGAATTCCATTCCAATTCCATCCACCCAAACGCAATCAAAATACATGGTCAAATCCCATTCCATTCCCTCAAAGTCAAATTCATTTGATGAATTCCAATTCCATCGAAATCCATTATGCGAACCAAACGCCCCCTAATTATTGTAATATAAAATATAATAAATATGATTGAAAACACTACCAAAATGACCCTCTTTTCCGGCGTACAAATCCCCACGACGCTTTCAGTGTTTAGGCTTCCCCAACCACATTGCCTGACAATCTCGATGCATTTTTAATCACTTCATTTGCTGGTTTTAGTTTTTTAACATGGCGCATGCCCAATAGTTGTTGAATTATCTTAAATTACTAGATTCTTCCGTAACAATATGTCATATGTTCTGTAATTTTGCTTATATATATGTAAAATGACCAAAAATGACACTCTTTCATATTATTGACTTATGAGAGTGTTTGAAATTGCTTATTAACTTAGATTTTTTAAGATGTAAAATTTATTTTTCATAATTTATAATAATATTTTTGACAAAAATTTATATCAATAAGATTAACAATTTATATCAATAAAATTAATAATTTATATCAATAAGATTAATAATTAACAAACATTAATAAACATGGTTAAAATGGTAAACTGGTAATAAACAATTTTCCATAAGTCAGAAAAAATTAACTTATCAAAAACTGCTTATTACCGGTTTGGCACCGGTATAAGCAGTTTTATTTTTCTTCATCCAAACATTAGCATTTAGCTTATCACCGGTGTCAGACTGAAATAAGTCAAAAAAGACCTAAAATAAACAATCCCAAACACTCTAAAAGTATTACAAGAGCATCTTCAACAAAATATTCTCTAAAATCGAAAAAATAGAGACTTTGAAGGTTTTTGACCAATTTTTTGCTCCAACGTATCATCCAAAATGGATAAAATAAGGGAGAGTGTATAAAATTATTTAGATTTATCAAACGCTTACCCGGGTAAGCACTTACCACTCACATTAGTTTACCGAATGAATATGGTAAGGACCAATAATCGTACACAGTAAGAACGAGACAAGGACCAAAAGGCTCATCCGGTAAGTGAAGACGACGACTCTTGCCTCTGTAAGCGTTTACAGGGAAAATGTTGCATACGATTATTTTTTGATGGACTAAAATCTTGCCCGATAATTAATCGCTAGTGTTGAATTTTACCAGTAAGCGTTTGCCGGATAAGTGTTTGGTAAACGACCCCTAAATATTTAGATAGATAAATAAATATTTTGTCTTAAATGTAGGAAATAATTTAATAATATAATTAATGTTGTAATATCTAAAATTGATTATATGTTGGAAATGAATGTATTTTTATTTAAAAAAATATTAAAGAATCTTATTTATATATTAAATAAAACTTGACAAACATTAAACTATACAAAACATGAGGAATCATGGGAAGAAATAAAGACTATTTAATCAACTAAAATTAAATATAAAATTATATTATTATATAATAATTATAATTTGTCAATGTCTATATACATCCATACATACATGAATCTAGGATTAAATTATGGTAAAAGAAATTGTTTTTTTTTTTATAAAATATTTCTGGGGTTTCTGATGTCTTTCGATCTGATGAAAATAAGTATGTGCGGTTTTTCTGTTAAGGGGGCGGAGATATATTTCGTCTTTTTAGGGGAAATCAGTTGAAATGGTCAATTTTCTTAACCATATTCACTTTTTAGTTATTTTTGGAATTGAATTTCAATCAGAGTCAGAGTTTATGCATTTATGTAAAGTTTATTTTCAGAATAAGAAATCTTTATGTATATACATAAACCCTTTTACGTAATAATCCATACACAAATGTGGATCCTTATGCGAATCTGCATAAAGATATTTTTTACTCTGATGATCGAGTTTATAGGTGACATGAGATTAAAAATGATCAAATGTTCGAGTTTTTTCTTACGCTTCTCAGCATAAATTTTCTTCTCACATGATCATTCGTCTATATATATATATATATATATATAGGGGCCTATTCAAGGGAGAACTGAGTTATTTGTGGTAACTGTGAGAACCAATATTAACCACAAATCAATAGATAAATTAGGAAATTTATAAATTTGGTAATTTTAAATTAAAATCTTAATGCAAGGATATTTTTGGTATTTTAAAACTCTCATCTCTCTTCTCTTCTCTCTCCGGCCACCGTTCTTCGTCCTCCGGCCACCGTCCTCCGGTGATACCACTATGATACCATTGTGATACATAAAAATATTGACTCTGTTAAACAAAAGATACATTGTGATACCTAATCATATATAAGATGCATAGTGATACCACTGTGTTACATCTTCGATCGACCACACAAACGACATTAATGTGATACCCAAGCACATATATGATGCATTGTGATACCATTGTAGTATCACCGGAGGACGGTGGCCGGCGGACGGTGGCCGGAGTATGGTGGCCGGAGAGAGAAGAGAGGAGGGAGGAAAGTTTTAAAATACCAAAAATATC